TCCCCTTTAGTGCTCTTTACTAAATTGGTAAAACACACACACACACACACACACTGAAAGGCGTTCACCGCTGCGGAATGTTCTATTTTCTTTGAACTGAGCTGCTGTTGCCTTTGCAGACAAGCGAGAGAAGGAAAGTGCCATCGACGAGTGCTCCCTTTCCCGTCGACAGTTCTGCACACTGGCATCTTCTGTCTGTCTGTTTGTGTGTCTGTCGGTGTGTGTGTCATTCTCTCAGTGGGAGTAGGTTTGAGTAGGTGTGAACTGAAAAGCTGCTGTGCACACTACTGCACTACTACTATTACAAAAACTGCCGCTGTAGTAGAACTACTGTCCCCTTCACAGAGGCACAGTTGAGCTGTCTGATCCATCCGCCTGTTGAACAGTGGCAAAAAGGAGCAATGAAGAACAAACAGTAGAGCAGCAGAGGTCCCTTTCTCCTTACCCGCACACTCTACTAGTGGCGGTAATTTGCGCCTCTGAGCACTGCTTTTCCATCCCTATTCCTATTCCCATCCTCATCCTGGCGCTCGCTCGCTTGCTCGCTCCTTGTGCGGCACTGGCAGTCGCAGCGCATCTTTGGGCTGGTTGCCACACAGAGCAAAGAGCGACCAAATTACCATCATTGCCAGCTTAAGAGAAGACAGAAGAGAAGAGAAATTTAGAGTCAAACTTGGAAGAACCTGAGTTGGCTTAAGAAAGAGGGTTACTACCCGGTCAACGGTAAGGTCAATTGTGTTGTCAGAAAAAAAAGTTGCAGTTAAATGTATAACTGTTTTGATTTAAATTGTAAATTCAAAAATTGCAAAACTCTACTTTTTTGTGCATTACTTAATGTTGCCTGTTAATTCAATAAAAAAACTTTTGAAAACTTACAGTAGATGTTGTTTGCNGTCAACGGTAAGGTCAATTGTGTTGTCAGAAAAAAAAGTTGCAGTTAAATGTATAACTGTTTTGATTTAAATTGTAAATTCAAAAATTGCAAAACTCTACTTTTTTGTGCATTACTTAATGTTGCCTGTTAATTCAATAAAAAAGCTTTTGAAAACTTACAGTAGATGTTGTTTGCAGAATTGTTTTTTATGTTTATCAAACATCAAACTTTTATATATTTTATTTTAGATTGTTTCAACAATCGTTGACTTTGGCTGGCATTGGCGGTAGTTCAGAAGTAATGGCGCCTGGTAGTGAGGCCAGTCGGTCTCTACTTAAAACTGCGCCCCTCTCATCATCACCTTCGTCCTCATTGTGCTCACCTTCATCATCACTGAGTTTATCATCTTCCATCTCATCATTTGTTTCATCACCAACAGCTTCACCTGTTTCATCATCTTATCCGGTGTCATTTCAGTTTGATCAACCCACTAGTTCTTCTTCCTCAAGAGCTTCAGTGCTCAGTGCGCCCTGTGTTTCATCATTGTCCGTCCACTCAGCAGGCAATGCTGTTGCCCAGTTTGTCTCCGTTTTTACCTTTGTTCTGAATCACAAGGTTACTAGCTCAATGAAAAATCGGTTTAGCAGTGACAGTTTTGGCAAATCATCCTGGCGGTCTCTCTACTCGGCCATGTCTTCTTCTTTATTGCTCAGTTTTCTCTTTCTTCTTGTTTTATCATCTCTACTAACACCTATTGAAGCACTGAAAAGACGCTCGCCACTGCATTCAGATGTCATTGAAGAGGTGGAAGCAAAAAGACTGGAAAAACTAATTCAAGAAACCGACTTTATTGCCGTTTTATTTTGTAAGTTGTTATGATTTTGTTATTTTTAAACACTATTAACTTTTGAGAAAAAGTTGCTAAAACAAAATTTTAATAATTCACAATATTATTAAAATAGTTTTATCAACTCAAAAAATGGCTTTTTACTTAATATTTTTAACTTTTGCAAACTAAACTTTATCAACTTTTCTAAAAGCTTATGTTTAAGTTTATCGTTTATCTAAAAATTGCGTCAAAAATTTACATTTTTAAAAAATAAACAGAAAAACTCTAAAATTGATAAATAAAAAATCGTTGCCTTGTTGTTGTTAATAATTAATCAAATCAGTCTAAAGCTATTGCTAAAATGTTTTAAAACAAAACGCGAATGTTCAAAGCAAAGCCTGCAATCAATTTACTAGTCTTCTAGTTTTTTAACATTTTGTAATATTTAGTTTAAAGTGAATGAAAGAGAATTTCCCCTTCCTAGGTAATTTAAAGCACATTCAGGCAGTCATTTCACTTAAGCATACCACTATCAAAGTCGACAGTTGCAGGGACATTTGATAGCAAAAAAAACTGTTTGTGTGTTTTGGGTTTAAAAAATGAACTGTCGAGTGTCAGTGCCGCGTCAATCCTTTCATTCCAAAAGTGGGCTTTCAGCAGGCAGGCTTCACTGTTTCACCTTCCAGGCAGTGGCAATGTCACACTAATACCCGACTGTTTCTCGCACCGGTGTGAGTGAGTGAGTGAGTGAGTATGTCGTTAGAAGAATGAAATTAGCACAACGTTTAAACACTGAAATCTGCACAACTTCGGCGTTCACCGCTTACCGACAAAGAATCTTGCCTCAAAGATAGACACTTTGTGGCAGCGTCTAGTGCCGAGGCAACCAAAGAGGCAACTGGTAGCTGAGAAAGTGAGAAAGAAAGTGAGATAGAGAAGGCATCAAGGAAAGCAGCAGCAATATTATATGCGCGGGGTGTATTTCCGCGGGTATTTGCTGCTCACTGTTCATTGTACACGGTGCAAGCTTCTCAGTTCACAGATTTGCACAGATATCTTTGCCGTAAAAGCCCTTCCTCTTTCTACGACATGAACTCGATGAACAGAAAAGAAGAAAAAAGACTCACTGCACTGCTGTGTTTCTAAATTTAAACTGCCAGCGTAGTAATGAAACGAGACACACTGACTTTAACGTGAGAAGTTGCCGAATGTGCCTTTCCCTTGTTGCATTGCAATTGCTGATGCCGTCCAAACAAGTGCAAGAGCAAAAAATGCCAAACTGTTCATTGTAGAGCAGTGTTGTCCTATGTCTGTACACTTCAATAGATGTAAATTTAAATTAAAAAATGTAGTAAAAAACAAAATGCGCACATTAAAATTAGTAATTGTTTAAAAACTGGTGATAATGTAAAATAGAGTAACCGTTTTACAAAAATTTTCATTTTATCACTTTTTACAGATACACGAACATGTGAAAACTGCAAAGACATTCTTGAGGAATTGGAGAAAATTGACGATGATGCCAACAAGTACGGGGTAGAGTTTGTTAAAAACTCTGAACGTGCTGCTTCCAAAAAGTATGGCATCGACAAGTTTCCAACACTGGTTTACTTTCGCCATGGTGATCCGACAACATATGAGGGCAACTTGATGAACGAAGAGGAAGTTCTTGAGTGGCTGACTTCAGTTGAGTCAATGGATTTGCCGGATCGTATTGAAGAAGTGAATGCTAAAATATTGCAAAACTACATCGATGAACATGATTTTGTAGCGGTTCTGTTTTGTAAGTAACTTTCTGTTTTTGTCAGCAATGTTCTTCATTGCAAAACAAACTTTTTGTTAGATAAACAAAATCACAAAAAGAGTGAAAAGGTATTGCAAAAACTGGAAGAAATTGACGATGATGCCGATGAGAAAGATGTTGGTTTTGTCAAAATTTCTGATGAAATTCTGGCCTACGAGTATGGACTTGAAGATTTGCCATCTTTAGTGTACTACCGCAAAAAGATTCCTATTGTGTACTCAGGTAAAGTTCAAAGGGAAAACTGTTGCCAACTATTTGCTAATTTGTTCAAACAACTCTAGGTGACTTGGAAAATGAAAAGAAAGTTCTCGACTGGCTGCTCGAGTTTCGCGACACTGTCGATGATCCGGATGAGTACGTTGAGGACTCTGATGAAATTGAAGATGTCAGCGCAAGTGTTTTGGCAAAACTAATTGAAGAGACCGACTCACTGGCTGTTCTTTTTTGTAATTAGTTTTTGCAACTTTGTTAAACTTTTAACTTTGATGGCTATTTTTTGCAGATGATGACAAAGATGCCGACAGCATGGAAGTTCTTGCTGAGTTGGGTATGTGATTGACTGCTATTTTGATTGCAATTGTCATAAGTTAATTTGTTTACATTTAGAAAACATTGACGACGAATGCGATCAACATGGCATTGCATTTGTCAAAATTGACGATATTGAGGTGTCAAAACGATTCGGAATTGAGTACGAAGAGCTGCCTACTTTGGTTTATTTTGAAGAAAAAATTCCCAACTTTTATCAAGGTAAAAAAAATTTGTTTTCACAAACAATGAGTTTAACTTGACTGCTTTTTAGGTGACTTGATGAAAGAGGAAGACGTTCTTGAATGGCTAATTCACCAAAAGAACACCGATGAAATTGAAGATGTTTCAGACGCTGTTCTGGAGAACATGATCGACTCAACCAACTACCTGGCTGTACTTTTCTGTAATACTGTTTTATTTAAAGTTTATTTTTATGCTAAGATACTTTTTTTAGATGATCGCAACTCAAAACTGTGCCAAGAAACCCTTAAAGAGCTAGAAAACATTGACGACGAATGTGACGATAAAGGCATTGCTTTTGTCAAAATTGACGATCCTGAGCTGGCAAAAACGTACGGCCTTCATGATGAGCTGCCTGCTCTGGTGTACTTTGAGAATCGAATTCCATCAGTTTATCAGGGTGACCTAAAGAATGAAGAACAGGTACTGGAGTGGCTCATTCAGCAAACCACCTCCGATGAAATTGAAGAAGTAAGCCACGAGCTGCTCACTGTTTTGGTGCAGAAGACCAACCAACTTGCAGCGCTCATCTACAAGCCAAAAGACAAACAGAGTGAAAAAGTGCTGAAAGAGCTGGGTAAAAAGTGTTTTTTATGACAAACGTTTTTCAAAACTTATTTTTGTTTTTTTTGTAAAATACTAGAACACATCGACGACGAGTGCGACGAGAAGGGCATCGTCTTTGTGAAAACCGATGACCTAGAGGCGGCGGAGAAGTACGGCATTCGGAAGCTACCGGTGCTCCTCTTCTTCAAGTACCAAGTGCCGGTCACCTACTCGGGCGACCTCACCGACGAGGACCGCGTTCTGGAGTGGCTGCTCGGCCAGCAGGAGTCCGACCAGATTGAGCAGGTCAACTCGCGGACACTGCGCGGCCTCATTGAGACCTCGCCCTCGCTGGCCGTGCTCTTCTACGACGACAGCAGCGCCTCGACAAAGGCCCTCAAAGACCTGGAGACGATTGACGACGATGCCGACCGCTACGGAATTCCCTTCGTGAAGATCGAGGACGCCTCAGTGGCGAAGGAGTACGGTCTGGCGGATGAGCTGCCGGTGTTGGTGTACTTTGAGAACCGCCTGCCCACCGTCTACGAGGGCGAGCTGACGGACGAGGATGAGGCGCTGGCCTGGCTGGTCAAGCAGCGCACCGAGGACACCATCGAGGAGGTGACCGAGGAGATCCTCGAGGACCTGCTCAAGGAGCGGGAGTACGTGCTGGTGTACTTTGCCCCGAACGACTGCAAGGAGTGCGAGAACATCCTCCACAACACGCTGGAGCACATCGACGACGACACCGATGAGCACGGCATCCTTTTCGTCACCACCGACGACCTCGCCTTCCTGCAGAAACAGAAGATTAAGGTAGACAAGTTTCCGGTGTTGATTCTCTTTCGCAACCAGGAACCAATCATCTACAAGGGCAACTTGAAGGACAGCAATCAGATTCTGCACTGGCTCACCGACGACGACACCCTTGACGACCCGGATGAGATTGAGGAGGTGAACGAGCGGATGCTCGACAAAATACTCGACCGGTCGCCGTACGTGGCGGTCCTTTTTACCAAGGAGAAGTGCTCAGAGTGCGACAAGGTCCTGGAGAAGCTGGAGGAGATCGACGATGAGGCGGAGCAGGCGTCGATTGACTTTGTCCGCGTCAAAGACGTTCGTCTCGCCAAGGAGTACAACATTGTCTCCTTTCCGGCGTTGGTCTTCTTCCGAAGGCGCATTCCCGTTTTCTTCGATGACGGCTCGCTGAAAGACGCTGAGAAGGTGCTCAAGTGGCTGATCAGTCAAAAGGACACTCACGAAGACGTCATTGAGGCGGTGGACCGGCACATGCTCAATGTTCTTCTCGATGACGTTGACCATATTGTCGTCTTCTTCTACGATGACGCTGAGTGCGATGCAGAGACAAAACGCCGTCTAAAGCTGAAACAGACAAAGGAAGCAAAGAAGGAGAAGAAGGACGGAAAGGAGAGTGATGCAGCGAAGAAGAAGGACGCTGATGATGATGGCGATGATGATGAGGACATTTGCGACCGGATTCTCCACGAGCTGGAGAAGATTGATGATGAGACGGATCAAGAGGGCATTCACTTTGTGAGTAGTTCAACATTTTTCAGCTTGAAACTGAGAATTAACTTTTTTGTTTTTGTTTTGCTTAGGTTAAAATCGACGACGCCGAGTACGCACACGAGTTGGGAATTTCTCAGCTTCCGGCGCTGGTGTACTTTGAGGAGAAGATGCCCTCACTGTACGACGGCGACCTGCTCGAGGAGGAGGAGGTACTCGACTGGCTGATCAAGCAGAAGAACGAAGACACCATTGAAAATGTCAATCGGGAGATTCTCTTCCGCATGATCGCCGAACGGGAGTACCTGGCCGTCTTCTTCTACAAACCGGACGATGATGAGAGTGCAGAGATCGCCGAGCACCTGGAGAAGATTGACGACGACTGCGGCGACTACGACGTCGGTCTGGTGAAGTGCAGCGACCAGCTGATTGCGAAGAAGTACGGCGTGCGAAACCCGCCCGGGCTGGTGTACTTCCGGCGCGGAAAGCACATCCGCTACGAGGGCAACCTTTTCGATGAGGACGAGGTGCTGGAGTGGCTGACCAGCGGCGAAAACATGGAGATGTCCGACGCCATTGAGAAGGTCAACCGGCGCATGTTTGAGCGCATGCTCGAACGCACCAACTACCTGGCGGTGCTCTTCTACAGTAAGGTGGAGTGCAAGAACTGCGACAAGGTCATGGAAGAGCTGGAGAAGGCAAGTCCATTCAAGTGAATGGGTGGTTTTATACTGCCATTACTACTTTTTGTGTTTTCGCTAACTCACAACCCAACACATTTTCATGTACATAGATTGACGACGAGGCCGACGCGGCGGGAATCAAGTTTGTCAAAGTCGAGGACAGCCAACTGGCGAAGGAGTACGGCGTCTTTGCGTTGCCGGCGATGGTCTTCTTCAAGAAGGGCGAAGACATTCCGGTCATCTTTGCTGGTGAGTGGGGATTCGTTTACCTTCGTTCTTCCTCTTCTTCTTCACCCTCCTCCCCACCTCCTCTCTCTGTGCTCGAGTCGACTCAAAGCGTGCGTCATCTGCTCCTCTCAGGTGACTTTAAAAAGTCGGAACGCATCCTCGAGTGGCTGATCAACCAGAAGGACCCGATGCTGGACCGCATCGAGGAAGTGGATGGTGGAACGCTCCGAAAGCTGATCGACACTGCCGACCACCTGGCGGTCTATTTCTGTGAGTACTCTTCCTTTTTGTTGTTGTTGAATGCTCCTCCTCGGTAGTTCCCCACTCTCTGGTCAGACTACTACCACTACTACTTGCACACACTACTAGTCACTACTGTTTTGGTGGCGGAATAGGGCAAACAGTAACTTGAAAGGAGAGAAAAAGATAAAGACTGCCAGTGCCGCCACTCCCAAACCCACTTGACTGCAACCCTTGAGACAGACAATAAGACAAATATTGCATTGCATTGCTAGTATGGCACCATTTGTCAATTTGCCTAGGCCATTGAGAGACACAAGACCTTGGAACAACTGGCTCATTTGGATCACCTCTGTCCTCTGAAGCCCAGCCTGCGCGTTTGCTGTGTCTGCCGCCGCCGCCGCCGCCGCATGTGCTCATTGTCCTCACTTTTTGACTGTGATTCACTACTGCCGTTGCTGAGCTTTGCCTATCATCAACATTACTCACCACACCTCCTACTTTACTACTACGCTTCTGCTTGCCATCTAGTGACTAGTGTTGCCCTGCTTTCTTCCTTTGCCCCACTCATCCCATCTCACTGTGTGACCTCACTCAATCTGACCGACTCTCTCTCTCTCTCTTCTTCCTTTTCCACTGCCCTACTGCCCTACTCGCCCCACTCTGTCCGTCACTCTCACTCTCTGATGCATGCCTCCTGACACACGCCCTGCCACCACCACCATCATCAAATCAGATGACTTTCTCAGCAAGTTCACCAAAACTGCCGCTCAAAAGGAGAAAGCCAGCGATGCTGCTAAGCTGCCCGCTCTGCCTCAGAAACACGCGGCTGGCAAACAGGCTCAAAAGGAGTCACCATCGCCTCCACCAAAAGAACCCAAAGAACCTAAAGAATCTAAGGTAAAAGAAGAGAAAAAGAGCAAACTGGCAAGTTCATTGGCAAGTAAGGCAAAACCAGTTGAAAAGGTAGAAAAGGCTGAAAAGGCGGCAAAGGCGGAAAAGGTAGAAAAGGCGGAAAAGCAGGTGAAAGCAGCTAAAGCAAAGTCAAACGAAGAAAAGAGCAAACCAGGTGCCAGTGGAAAGTCAAAAAACAGTGCTGCAGCAAATGAAGCCAAGAAGATTGCCTCTAAACTGCCTCCGCTCAAAAGAAAGTAATGACAAAAAGCCAGTAATTGTTTGTAATCAACAAAGTAATTGAATAACATCTGTTTTTCAAACTGTTAAACTGAATAGGTTTTATATGTTGTTACTGTTGTTAAAGTTTGTGCACTCAGTGTTTGCTTGTTTGTTTCACCGGTTGCAGTCAGTAGTGTGTCTTACATGTGTGTGCTCCACTGGCAATATTATCTTTTTGTTTTACTACCAGTGTGCAAACTGAATTACCTGACCTCAATAAAAAATAAACTCATCCCTTTTGCTAACATATTTGTCCAACTTTTCCATTTGTTCATTTACTGTTCCTTTTGAATGTAATTATTTTCACTAAATGCAGACGTTCCTGACAATGAGGAGTGTAGGCAAACACTGGAAGACCTAGAAAACATTGACTCAGAAACTGACCGTCATGGAATTATTTGTAAGTTTTTTAAATTATTTAAAAAATTTTTGATAACTTATGAGATATTGCAGTTGTCAAGTCAAAAGACCACACTGTGGCTAAAGATTATGGCATCACTGAACTTCCTGCACTGATATACTTTGAAAAACGCATTCCATCCATTTACCAAGAAGACATTTCTGCTGAAGAGGACGTTCTTCAGTGGCTTGTTCAGCAAAAAACTGAAGACACCATTGAGTCGGTCAACAGAGAGCTACTGGAGCAACTCATCAGCAACACTCAGTATTTGGTTGTGTACTTTTGTAAGTAAATATTTTTGTTTTTAGCAATTGATGACAAACAATATTTCTGTTGGTTCAGATAAACCTCACTGCAAAGCATGTGATATAGTTCTTGAAGAGCTGGAAAACATTGATGACGATTGTGAGATCTACGGAATAAACTTTGTCAAAATTCAAGATGTGAATTTAGCCAAACGTTATGGAATTAAGAACTACCCAGCGCTTGTGTATTTTCGCAATGGAAATCCGCTCATTTTTGACGGTGATTTGCGCAATGAAGAACTTGTCTTTGAGTGGCTCATTGAGGACGAAAATCGCGAGTTGGCCGACGAAATTGAAGATGTCAACGGTCGAATGCTTGAAAAACTCATCAACGACAAACCGTTTTTAGCGGTGCTCTTTTATAGTAAAGAATGTGCCGACTGTGAGGAGGCAATTAAGTCGCTTGAGAACATTGATGATGAAGCTGACATTTTTGGCATTGATTTTGTCAAAGGTATGATCTATTTTTAAAATGTTTTTTTAAAATAACTTTTTTACTATGTGCAGTAAATGACATTGCTGCCAACAACAAGTACAACATTCAAAAATTGCCCGTTTTGGCGTTTTTCCGCAAACAACAGCAGTTTATGCTTTATGAAGGTGATCTCAACAATGAAGCCGATGTTCTGCGTTGGCTGACCAGCAATGAAGTGTTCAATATTAAAGATGAAATTGAAGAAGTCAATCGAAAAATGCTCGAGAAAATTTTAGAAGACAATGATTTTGTAGCCGTCTATTTTTGTAAGTACTTTTTGTTGCAGATCATAATACAAAAATTACTAATGATGAGTTTATTTTGTAGATGAAAATGATTGCTATGATTGTGAAACAATACTCAATGAACTGGAGCATATTGACGATGATACAGATGAACTGGAAATAATGTTTGTCAAAATTCGAGATACTAAATACGCTCGAAAATACGGCATAAACGATGTGCCAGCATTGGTATTCTTCAGAAAGAAGTTTCCATCTATTTATCGAGGTATATTATATGGAAAACTTTATAACTTTTGAACATTATTTAACGCTGGTTTCATTAAATTTTTAGGTGATTTGATTCGGGAAGATGAAGTACTCGAATGGCTCAAAAGAAATCGATATCGTCATCCTGAGTTAAACTTTTTCATGTACGCTATTACTGCCACAACAGGTGCATTTGTTCTTTATACACTCTTTTTGATATTTTGCATGAAAAAGAAAAAAGGCGACCTTAAAATTGAATAGATTTTGTTAAATGTTATAAAAACGCATTAGTACTTTTTGTTTGAACAACTGCATTTAAATGAACAAAAATTGTAAATATTTACAAAAAAACTGCAATATGTAAAATTTACATTTAGTTGTTTTAAATTTGTTATAAATTGAGTTTTTTGCTTAATAAAATCCTTTTTTTTATAAAACTTAAATGTATTATTTTGTTTCAGTTTGCCTAACATGATTTGAAAAAGTGTGAAGAATAGAAAACGACGACAAGTTCACGCTTGGGAAAAAC